TTGATATAATTCAAATAATTATGAGGTGGGTTGCTACTGCCATGCCTGACAGGGCCGACCTGGACTAAGGAGGGTACTACGTCCCAATGGAAAGGCGGAGATACTCGATAAAGATTCTCCTTACTCGGGAATCGAACTGATGTCTTCTGCGTACAAGCGGGAAAGAGGGGGAGGGGGGGGGCGGCTGACTGATACAACCTGTAATGAATCTATATGAATGCATTAAGGGAAACAATCAATAGTTCATGTTGATTGATAATTAAGTAAGTACATTCTCCTTGGATTGTCCAGAGGTCAAATTTCTCTTCCGATCACGTGAGTTGAGTGGTAAACTTTTGTCCTGTTGAGTTGTAAAGTGTGTGTTTAAGAAAACCTATTATCTGAAATCATCCTTCCTGAAACCATTTAGTACACAACAGTCATAAGTCATGCAAATAAGACCACATTAATTAATAATATAATAATATACATAACGTATTCTAAATAAGGGCATCACTTGGATGGGAAAGGACTTGATATATAAGTAAAAACATAAGCAGCTATATCAGAATGAGAGAGTGCAAATAGACTAGTTCACACAGTCTCTAGATCACTAATACTAGATAAAATGCGAATAAATACATCAATAAACAGCTTTATAAAAACAGAATTGAAAATAATATTATACTTATCTTTACGGTATCCCAGTCAACGGACTTTTTAAAAAAGCAGAGAATGGGTTTGTTTCATTTGATTATTACTGTCTCCCAATATTATCTAACACGAGCAATAATTGTAAATTAGTTAAAAAGTATCATGTAGAGTAGCGGTTGGGCATTTCATCGTGCACACTGAAGGCGTGAGTTTGAATCCCAAGTGGACAGAATTTCTATAAAGTATTTCTGCCTTTTTGCAGGGATGTATTCATCTCAGCCCTGGTAGGTCCTAATGGGCAGGGTCGAAGCGTCCCATCTCTGAAGAGATCTAAATTGTTTCGTAGGCGACGTAAACTATCTGCTACCACAATTACAATTGTGTGGCATCCTGATGAAATCAGGTGATCGTAAAAAAAAAATAATGGAAAAATCCACATTTTTCCGCAGGTAGAGCAATTTCTATCTATTTTGTTTAGTTTTGTAACAGACAGAACACTATTAATTAGTTTATGACTCCATAGTCTTCTTAGCTCAAAGCAGCCATCTATGTCAGGTAGAGCTCTATCATTATTCTAAGTTACGGCAGTAGTATAATATCTGTGTGTTCATTTAACGTTGCAGAATAGCACTCAATTTTCCACAGTGACTAGTAGAGTGGAATTTATTACCATTACTATCACTACTACTGGTTAGGCTCTCGGACTCGCAACCGTAAGGTCGTGGGTTCGAATCCCGTCAAGGGCCCGACGTTGTGTCCTTGGGAAAGGCACTTTACACAAATTTTCCTCACTTCACCCAGGTGGGAATGGGTACCCGGCTATAGACAGCGAAAGATCTTGTCAGTTTGTTAGTGTTTGAGCGCTTAATCGGCTGCTCGCACTGTATGCTTCCCGGGAAGCTGAGAATGTTTCGGAGTGTACTATGGTCTGCTGGGGTAATAATATAGTGTAAAGCGCATAGAGCCTGCTGTTGAGCGGGGATATGCGCTATACAAATGCTATCTATTATTATTACTACTACTACTACTACTACTACTACTACTACTACTACTACTACTACTACTACTACTACTACTACTACTACTACTACTACTACTACTACTACTACTACTATAATAATAATAATAATAATAATAATAATAATAATAATAATAATAATAATAATAATAATAATAACAATAATAATAATAATTATTATTATTATTGTTATTATTATTATTAATTATTATTATTGTTATTATTATTATTATTATTATTATTATTATTATCATTATTATTATTATTAAAATTATTATTACTATTACTATTAGATACAACAGGCAAGCTGTTCAAAATGTTCTAAGTAAAAAAGCCCCATCATTTTTATGAGAGAGATTAAAGAGCCCCAAAACAGTTTCATTTTTATAATAACTGTACCTAGTTTACGATCTATTCTTGCTTTTTTTTTCAATATGAAGAATTCGAATATTGGTAAGATATTTCTTGAGCATACCCAATCAATATTACACATTACGAAACTGAATAAATAGTAAATTTTGGGAAAACAATGGGTTGAGTACACCTGAACCGATTGCTGATGAAATGAAAATAACAGAGCAGCAGAAGAGATAACGTCTATGACTGGATACACAATACACTGACCCCTCCCAGGTAGTTGTTGATGTAGAGAATGCTGTGCCACCACGAGTTTTCGCAGCGCAGGTCGAAGGTGTATTGAGAGCTAGACATTGGGCCCTGAGCAAACCACGATGGGAAGGACTTCCAGTACAAAATGAACGTCAGGAACAACAAAGGTGTGAGCCTGAGGAGGAGAAATACAGGATCTTAATGAAGACTACGAGTGTTGTGGTTGTTTTTTTGGGTGGTTTGGTTGGTGGGTTGGAGGGTGGGTGGAGAAAAGGGGGCGAAAAGAATGAAAGAGAAAAGAAGTGATACATACATATGCTCATATATTATAGAGACAGGTAGGTAGATACCCAGATTTGTAACATGTATAACACACACAGACGCACACATACACACACACACAAAGACACACACACACACACACACACACACACACACACACACACACACACACACACAGAACACCGCTTAAACAGACGACAATAGTGGTAAACCGAACGATAATGACACTCTCCTATTTAGAAAAAAATAATCTATTTCAGCAACCTTTCTAGACCGAAAACTCGGTTTAATCAAATAAAATCTTACGGCCCTGCAAATTTCTGATCAAGCAGACTTCAGTGTGTGCATATATAATTCCCAGATGTATAAAGTTTGTGCATATGTGCATGCGCGCACACTCGTGTGTGTGCGTGTGTGTGTATGTGTGTGTGTGTGTGTGTGTGTGTGTGTGTGTGTGTGTGTGTGTGTGTGTGTCCACACGTGTGCAACAGAGATAGCTAGCTAGCTAGCTAGAGATAGATAGATAGATAGATAGATAGATAGATAGATAGATAGATAGATAGATAGATAGATAGAGAGGTAGAGAGATTGAGAGACAGAGAGATTGAGAGACAGAGATGCAGGGAGAGGTTGGACGAGTGAATGAAAGAGAGAGATAAAGAGACACTGCTTGAGAGATAGATAGAGAGTGATAGATAGAGTTTGGGGTGTCAAAGAATGAGATAAAGCGAGAAAGAGAAAGAGAGAGAGAGAGAGAGAGAGAGAGAGAGAGAGAGAGAGAGAGAGAGAGAAAGAGAGAGAGAGAGAGAGAGGGAGAAAGAGAGAAAGGAAAAGGGAAGTTATGAAGTTAGTCAAACTCAAGTCCACCTGAGGTATCTAACCGCGTAGTAAGTGAGCCAGTTGATCCTGCCGTTGCTTCTTTTCAATACCTTCAGCATTGAGAGGGAGAGCAGCAAGCCACTGATAGAATACATGGAAGAAGGGCACTCGATTTAAATCATAATAGATAATAAATAAAATGAAAAGATTATTAAACACTGATAGAATGAACGGGTGAGGGGCACTCAATTAAACATGATGATGATGATGATGATGATGATGATGATGATGATGATGATGATTATCACTATTATTATTATTATTATTATTTTATTATTATTATTATTATAGTTATTATTATTATTATTATTATTATTATTATTATCATTATTATTATTATTATTATTATTATTATTATTATTATTATTATTATTATTATTATTATTATTATTATTTTTATTATTATTATTATTAATTTATTTACTTATTTATTTATTTTAAAAAATATTATTATTACTATCATTACTAAATGATCACATTACAGTAAATATACTAGTTCATCTTTGTACAAATGTACTTACCTTATAGTTAAGAACGTATCACACGAATAAGAACCATTGGTCGCGAACGGAAATATCAAAGTTGTTACTTGTGTCTGTAAAGCTTGCAGCATGTTTTCTGTCAAGAAAATAAAGAGAGTGGTTTACTTGATTTGAAAATAGTCATTGCGACACACACACATGAAGAAGATAACAGTAAAATATTACTCATCATCATAATTAGCATTACAATGGTCAACACGCATGCAACCGCTCTTACTTGCATAGTTGGAAAATATGCAGACTTCAACATCAGTTAAGGACCACCTTGACAGGCAGCCTTGCTTTTTCAAAATCCAAACAAAGAGAGCAAAGAAAGTTTAAATTTTGTTTGTTTGTTCTAGAAGCGTTAATGTGTTAACAATGCGTACTGCAAAGCTTCCTAAAGGGGTAAAAACCACCAAGTGCAGCATGGAAATCCTCTGGAAATTTCCATATCTGCTAGTGGTCCTTAATTTATGTTGAAGTATGAATGATCATTGTGGGTGGTTGGCGGGTGCTTCTGTGTGGTTTGCTTCTTCTTTCCTATCAAACATGATATATCGTCTTTATCTCCCGTTTTTCTTTTTTATGTTTGTTACTCTCTTGCAACATCTCTAATCTTCGACACTTATACGACCTTATTGTGTTGCAAGAGCCGTAAAAGTCTTACTAAAACTAAAACTCAAGTGTTATCATTGTGATGTTTGAAATAATAAGATTCTGATTTCTTTCCTGAACCTATACTTAACGTGTAGGATTTCGGCCAGCCTGTAAGGAGGAAGTTAATTGTTACAAGTAAAAGTAACAGTGTAGTCTCCTAACTAAAAAAAACTAATCTTATCATAACCGTGTGTTGACTCTAGCTAATAGATCGCCCGCCCAACGTTATATTACTGAGATGGCGTCAATCCGATAGAATTGGGCAAGGAGATAAAATAAGACAGAATAAATAAATAACTAGATCTAGATTTAAAAAACCTATCAAACATTATTTTGTGCCTTACAACATGGATTTTATATAAAATCATATTTCATATACAAGCCTACAACACACACACACACACACACACACACACACACACACACACACACACACACAGAT